ATTTATCTGTGATGGAATTATTTCATTTCTTATTAAATGTTCAATTTTATCACATACATCATCGGTTGGAATCATCGGAGTAATGTTCTTCGAATTTAGAACTTCATTATATAATCCACCTTGCATTGTAAGTTTAGTTCCAAGGACTAAAACTTTCGAGAAACCTTGTCTCTGACATTCATCAGCCACTATTTTGATTAAATTAACAACTTTCAATGGTGAATTCTTTTCAATAAGATCAATAGCGAAATGAGGAGTATTTGATGGAATAATGACAAAATCAGCGCCGACTTTTTCCAGTAGTCTAATCGATTCGCATACTTTGTTGGCCAAACTAATCCAATCTTTTCTAATGATGCAGTCTTTGTATTGATCATAAGAAAAAGCATGCATTGTAAAGTCTGGATGTTTTCCTGATGAGTCGATTTTCGCCGCTTGTGCAACAATTTCATTGGCACATAAACATGCGCCGACTGTGGTAATGTCGACGATTCCTATGTGTTTCATACGTTGTAAACTAGAAATAATTCTTGACTGGGGAATAATTGATTTAACAGACATGGTTCATGTCTTAAAACGACAAATTAGAAAAGATATACATAATATTTCAATATGGTTGTCGATCGAATAACAGTTCTCAAAGTATCTCCTACTGTCAAGAGATGTGAATGATATCAGAGTAAGAGGATGTGATTTGGGAACAAAAAAGACTTTCTATAGACATCGTAGAGATTGACATCACCACATTCGTAAACAGTCGGAAATATTACATTAGAAATCGAAAGATTGGAGTGAGTTTTAGACTTCTATACTTCTCAATTATATTATTTTGAGAATGATTGCTTTGCTTCCAATTTCTAGCACAAGGTCATATAGAATCGCACTCAAATCGACGAAAAGTTTCTCTTCAATTCCAAGAACCAGGTAAGATCGAATATCAGAATATGTCGTGATTTGTTTCTAGCTCTCAAGTTGTGCCAAGAGCGAGGTAAAAATATTTAAGCTAAGAAACCAACTGTAAATATCTATTAATTATGTTAATGAGAGGAAAGAAAAAAAATATTATTGAGTCGTCGCTCTCAGTCAATAAAAAACATAAATGATAAGAGCACGTAAGAGAGCGTACATTATTTTGTTATAGATATATCAAAAAGTAATTACAAGAAAACTTGCCTATGTGAACACCTTTCCGCCCCTCCACCTCCCCCCAAGCTGTACATGTATGTACGTTCTTATTTGATTAATATAACGAGTAAAAGATTCGATAGTGAATCGAATTGGACGAACTAAAGAAGAAACTAGAGAGGCATAGATAGATTAGTCAGAACAAAACAAAAGAAGGATAGGTGACTTAGAAAAAGAGCGAAAAGAACAATAAACGAGACACATAAAACATCGACCCGAACAGTTCTATGTAAATAAATGAAATGACAACAGTGATCTCCTTGTTGAAATCGTCGATACTGACACCATCTAAAATATCGAAGACATCGAAAAAGAGGAATCAGTCGAAGAGATACGTCTAAAACTCTTCGGAGCACTCGACATATTCCAAAGGTTACATTTATTTACATTGGAAGTACAACCTAAACTCTACATACTTATCAGAGAATTCGAGTCGAAAACGACTAACCTTTATCTTGACACGAAAGTGTCTAAACAAAGTTCTATAACTGACTTTTTCGAAATATATTGATGAAATTCAAAAAATTTTCAATAAGTTATGCATGAGATGCCTAATTCGAAGTATCATATAAATGACCCTCGGCCAGCATAAGATAAATTCGAAAATAAATGAATAAAAATTATGCCAGCACTTGCCTCTAGCAGAAAAAAAATTATTTGAATTATAAAGTATAAATGAGATAGGACCAATTTATAGCTGCGGCAAAAATTGAATCTTTCCGTTATATTTTTGATTCAGTTAATAAGGTCAATGTAGTAATTGACGTCTCTTTGGATTTTCATTTCTTCCATAACTGAAAGTTGCCCGACTCAATATTTATTCGAGAGAAGCACTTCTCACCATTTAACTGATTTTTCATTTCAGCGTGGCGCCACGAAGCGTCCTTTGAAGAGCTGCTTTGGCGATTAATAATAATTTGAAAATGTTTGAGCTTTTGCTAACTTAGTCTTCAAGAAAACAGAATTTATCTCACATTTACATTGCAATAATAAAGGACTGTGCGTGGGTAAATTTTTTAAATAGTATGGCGCCATTAAAAATTGCTTGATTATTTTATGGAATGTCTCTTAAATGAGTTGAAAACAAAGAATACTCACGTACTACAAATGAAGCTGGACTAAATGAATTACGTTTTATTTATTTTTGCAGGTAGTATTGCTACGTATTTATAAACGATGAAACTGCTTGGCTTTTTCCAACTTGCGTCTCATGATATGTATCAGTGAAGCATGACAGTTTCATAAGATAGATAGTTGATTTCGTAAGAATATACTATTAATCACATGGGATTATTTTTTTCCAACATTTTCTTCCATTATACGTCTTTTTCTTGCTTTGTATTACGTGTCGCTATACGAAAAAAATGTACACTGATATTCGGTCGTAAGAAGTGAACCAAATTGACGCTAGTCAAACTTTAGTTCATTGTCCACATTATACCCATATATATATATATTGTAAATATATATATATCATAGAACATTACCAATAACTGTCGCTATAAGTGAGTCATGAATTTATTGTGGTAGAGTTCTCAATGAACTTCTATACGTTTTAGTTCATTAAATTTCAAGAGCATACAAGATTTTTCTGAGTTCTATGATAAATTTAGAATACAACATTGTAAATTCAAACTAATTAAGCTGCGTATATAATTTATTTGTAAGTGTTCAACAAGAATATCATCGGCGTTGAGAACAAATTAAGTCTATGTGAAGATATATCACGATAAGGTAAATTGAACATCATTTTTTTTACAGTCGACGTTTTATTGCAAAAACTATGAAATCCATTTAGACTACAAGTACAAGTTGAAAAATAATCATATGAAAAAACATAATTCACCAAAGAAAAGTTACAAATAAAAAAATGATATTGTCATTCATGAAATTTCATCTATCTTTTTGTTATCTGCTGTAGATTGCTGCACCTGTTTAATCTTAACAAAAGGACACGGACGTAAAGAAATAATTAAATTATCAGAAATATAATAAATAATTTATGCGTACTGAAAAGAATCATCATTATCGAGAAAACAAATTGCACAACACCTTGTACATTAAAATAAGATCAGATTCGCATCTTCAATTTAGCATTGTGAATTCGATTCTTAAAATATATAGAATATTAATGTAATTTTTTGTACAAATGTATGTAGTAGATACACTACACGGTCAATGTATCTATAAAATGAACAATAACTTCAATATGATATTCTTTACAGATTCATAATCACGTTTCTATTGAACAAAAAACTCGAAGATGAAAGAATGACAATAGTTTCTAAGTAGTGGACGATATCTTATCATAAGCCTTCTTTGATACCATGAGTAGTAGATTTGTGAACAAATAAAATGTGATTATTCTTTCAATATATCAAATCCTTGTCATTATTTTCTCTAGGTTACTGTTGCATTTATTTTCTAAATAATCGGTATGTTCTAACAAGTACTCTAATTGACATAAATTCACATGCTATAAGTAGCATTTACATGTTACAATTTATTTTATTGTAGAGCAGTTATACGATTGTTTTTCAATTGAGAGTGGGTGTGGATGTGGTGTGAGAGTGAGGCTGATCTCAACTCAATCCGACACCAACACCCACTCACATCCACACCCATACCCACAATCCACACTTTGTATAGTGACAGGTCATACGGAGAATAGTTTATAGTGAAAGTCTCAGATCTTCTCATTTCTTCTATTTTGAAGTAAGAAGCCCGAAATCTGTTTATATGGATGAGCGATATAGAAGCAGTCTTTTATGGTAATTTTATCTTAGGATAGGAACAGCCAAGAGATATGAAACTTTCCCAATAAACTTCGCTTGTTACGGTCTGTCACTAAGGAATGTTTGATGTTAAAATTCCAAACTTAGTGTTTCCGATGTTCCTGAGGAGAACTATGGCACCGTGCTTAAACGTAACGTTCAAGTTGGTATGAATTTGAATGTTCGGTGTGGTTGGATGTGTGTGGGTATGGTGTTCTCTTCATTGACAATCACATCCACGCCAATATCCACACCCAAACCAACGCCTCACATCCATATTCATCTATGCCCATACTCCAAATCCGTACATCCGACTCGTACACCCAGATATACATGCGCACCTGGACACTCACACATCCACACCCACACCCTATGCTAAATGTTAAATGCGTGTATGATGTGATTAATTCTACTAAAACATCTCCGCGAAATCTAATGAACAATGTATGATTCCATGAGTTTTCTTGGGCATCAACGTCACAGAATCACAAGTAATCCATTTTTCAGGGACGCATATTGTTAATGTAGCTGAACATGAAAGCCATTGACTGTAACAACGATGGTATCTATTGTGTTAGTTGAGATAGTATCTTGAACAAAGATAACGCTCGAAAGCAAGATGCTTCAGTTTCTGCTTTGTGCCTCTACGGATACTTCCAAATATTAATGCCCTTGTGGTTTTTACTCTCACGTATTACAAGAAAAGCTTTCTTTTTGAATTCGATATTTTAAATGCAAAATTCTATACCAACAGATCTATTACAGAGCTCGAAGGGTCCTATTATAAGAATACAAATCGGATCAGCTTTTGAACTTCAAATCTATCATAAATTTAAAAAAAAATTAAAATTCATATTTTCGTGGTCCACGAAATCCCAAATAGCATGCTGAAATGTCTATTGCAATCCGAAGAGTTCACTATCCGCGCTATATACTTTAACGTTCAATAACAATCATGTTTCACCAAAGATGTGACCAGAATAAAACTATATTAGCAACAAGTGATTATACTATTAACAATCGAAAACAAAGTATATATCTCTAGAATTTCTTTTTCAGATATTCGATGGCATCTGCAATAGCTTTGTTTTTTTGTTTTTCGACTTGTTGACTGCCATCAAGTCGAACAACAAATCCATGAGAAGTGCTAGGATAATCGATAAATTTTCCAAGACCACTTTGAGTCAGTTCTTTTTGAAAATGTTCACGTATATCGGGTGTAAATCTTTCATCGATTTCAGCACATTGAAATAGGATCGGTCGTTTGATTTGTTTTGCTTCTTCTTTGACTAGAAACGATGGATGAGCTACAACAGCTGCTTTTACGGACGACGATAATTCCGGATGTGTAATCAAATGAATCACTATTTTACCACCGTAACAGAAACCAACAACCTACCATAATGCAAAAATAATTTTGATATCATCATTAACTTGATCAACAAACAATGTATGATTACTTGAATAGAATCATAGTGTCCTTTGATTGTTGAAATAATTTTATCAGCTACACTACAAGCATCTGTTGAAGGATGTTTATTGAGCCATGCTGGTAATTTATCGAATAAGTTCGGCTCTTTCGGATTCATTGAATCGCCATTGAACATGTCAGGTACAATGACAGTTGTTTATAAACCTTGTGCATAAGTATCGGCTATTTTACGTATGTTGATAAAAGAAAAACCAAAAATGTCAGTGAAAATGATGATTGTTGATTGGCCTCGGCCCGTTTTGTATGTTGCTATTCCAGCTAATGTCTCTTCATGTCCTTTTGCATCATGACTCTGTTTTGCTCCTGAATCAACACAACATGAACCACTCAGTACACTAAAAACTTCTTTCGCAGTAGAATTAAAAGAACGATGTAACGTTTTTATCAGCGCTGTAGAATAACGAAATATAAACATGAATTACTCTAGAACAGAAAAGAAAACGAGTGCACATATATTGACCCTGGTAACCCTTCTTCTTCTTCTCACTCACTCTTATATTTCTTTTCTTTTTTTCCAATAACTCCGTCTACCAATGAGAAATGCTGAGAACTAGATGACGCTACACAATTTCAACAAAATTATGTATATGATATAGTTACTGCAAGATCTTTGTATTAGACAAAAAGAAATGCCTTGTTCCTTTTGAAAACCGCAACCATAATGATAATATAAAAAGCCATGAGACTGACATAAAAAGCAATGGAAAGCAAGTAACGTAGTACCAGATAATCCGATAATTTTGTGTTGTAATTTTGAGTGTGGGTACGGATTTCGATGTGAATGTGAGTGAACAGAAGAATGACTCATGTCAGTACGGATGTGGGTGCAAGTGTTCTCTTGACTTTGCTCTTAATTTACACACACACCCACATCCTCATTATATTCCATGAGCCGTTTTCACAACAGTCATGTATAAATCATTCGTTTCATGAAAAAAAGGATTTATCGCTGTATCTGTTACTGCTTGCCTTATACTGAAGCGCAGCAAAGAGAATATCTACGTAAATCTATTCATCAAACTTTCTATGCGAATAAAGAAAAAAGTGCCACTAACGATTACCATTAAAATGATTAACTTATATGAAGAGCTACACAACAACAGTTTTTCAGGAGTATGAAAAACCATCAATAACTTTATTCAAAGACTCAAATAGATTTATCTTTGAATAACACACATTATCTATTATCTCGAACTTTTTGCCCTTCAAACACTCCTAGATTTCGATAGAACACAGTGACATAGTGTACATCTTGTGCGATATTGTTAACATTGACATTGAAAACAATATCGAGTTGTACATCTACCGCAGGATTGAACTCTATATGTTGCATCATACCGTAATGATTTCTACTGAAAAGAATGGTGTACTCTACATATTACACGATATTGTCAAGATTTTAATTGAAAACGGTGGCGTACTTTACATCTCACAACATATCGTTAAGATTTACATTGAAAATAGGGCGAACTCTATATCTAATACAATATTGTTTCGAGTTCCATTGAGAGTTCACAGGAAATTGTGAAGTCCAGGAACTTAAATGAAAGGGATTCAAAATAGAATATAACTCAATTTAAATATAGAAGATCAATGCTTCCTCCTTTTTTTAATTGTTTTTCATTTCAAATAATTGTTTTCAGTATTTATGTTTAATTTTGCCAGAACGTCAACATTGTCTAGCGCATACTTTTTCCAAGTAACGCAATTATGCTTCAACTTGCTCAATCTTTATTGACATGTAAGAGCCAATGAATCATAGAAGTGTATACAGCTCAGACGTAAAAATATTCATTTCTTCACTTCTTACCTCCTCTTATGTAAAGAAAAAAAATGTGACAATCGTCACGATCATATTGAAAAAGATACATACTGGTGAATCATTCTATATTTTTTTCATCACATGTTTATATTGTCACGTGTTTTATTATCAACGATTTCTCACTTTCATATATTTACCTATCGATATGCATACTCTATTTGCTATTTCGTGTATTGGTTTGATGAAATTAATAGTATTTTTTCGACGACTGTTTTATTTTAATATTATTCTTTTGGTAATATTGACTGTTTCTCTTTTGACTGTTATCCATGAGAAAATCTCCATTTCCAGTCAAAAACTTTTCTTCGATACTTTGTTATTCGACGACAATTGGAAATTTTCTTTTGATGAACAAACCTGGATCACTGTAACATTGCCCCATACTCCCCATCTGGAACCTATCGAGAAAATTGAACAACAATGGCAGGGTACATGCTTCTATTGGAAACAATTACCGATCAATGACAAATATTCTCATATAACATTTCAGTTTGATGCAGCCATGCACGAAGCAGATGTCTGGGTAGATAGTTTACATGTTGGTCGTCATCTCGGTGGTTATTTACCCTTCTATATTGAAATTCCAAGCGGCAGGAACATAACAGTTCGTCTTCGCAACACTGACAATTCTCTTATTTCACCAGGTAAAAATTTGTTTGCATTAGATTTTAATTATTATGGTGGTCTCTATCGTCATGTATGGCTTTTGAGAAAACCTGCCCACCTTCGTTTCGATCGACATATTCGCATTCAATATGAAAATATTAGTCGAGCTCAAGTGACTCTTCGTGTACAGTTCAGTGTCATTCATACACCTAGTAAACTCGGTCAATATCGAATCCGATACTTGTTGGATAGTCATGAACTATTGCCTTCTTCCATTTTACTTCAAGAAAATTCATCAAAGAAATCTGATTCATATGATGTAAAAATGAATGTTTTTAATCCTCGCCTTTGGTCACCATCACAACCGAATCTCTATGAGTTTCTATTGGAACTTTTATCAGACATAGGAACAGAAGAAGGCATAGTTGATCGACACAACATCAGCATTGGACTTCGTTCACTAGAGTTTCGATCTGATAATTCACATTTATTTTTGAACGGACAACAAATGGATTTTCTTGTTGGAACAAATCGACATTAAGAGTATCCTTATGTTGGCTATGCTCTTTCTGATCAAGCACAGTATCGTGATGCTTACAAAATAAAAAAAGCCGGTTTCAACTTAGTCCGTTGTTCCCATTATTCACCATCGCCAGCTTTTCTCGATGCCTGTGATCGATTGGGACTTCTTGTTATTAATTCAATTCCTGGTTGGCAGTTCTTTAGTAACGAAACTTTTCAAAAGAATAGTCTCGATGATGTACGCGAGATGTTGCGTCGTGATTGCAATCATCCGTCGGTTTTTCTCTGGGAAGCAAGTCTCAATGAAAGTCCGATGACAAAAGAATTCATGGCTCGTGCTCATGCAATTGTCAAAGAAGAGTTGTCGCATGGATTGACTAGTGGATGGCTCGACGAAGAAAATATCTATGATGTATTTACACCAGCTCGACAACATGGTCAACCGCCTGATTATTATAAAAATTATCGAGCAAAGAATAACAAACCACTTCTTCTAGCCGAGTATGGCGACTGGGAATACTTCGCATCGCATAAAGATAATTTCAATCAGGCATATGTCTCTTCAAAAGTGTATGAGAACACGTCAAGACAACGAAGATATGGTGGAGAAAAACGATTGCTGCAGCAGGCACACAATTTCCAAGAGGCTCACAATGACAATCGTCGTGCTAGTCAAACAGCTCGGATTGTGGGTGATGCGAATTGGTTAATGTTTGATTACAAACGAGGTTATGCACCCGATATTGAAGCATCCGGAATTATGGACATTAATCGACTGCCCAAATTTGCTTTCTATTTCTATCAGTAAGAGTGACAACAGAAAAACAAAGATTTGATCTCATAAAATCAATACCGATCGATTCTCTTTTCTCTGTTCAGGAGTCAATGCACATCCTGTGCACCAATGATATTTATCGCTAGTTATTGGACAAATTCATCCAATACATCTGTTACAGTTTATTCCAATTGTGAACATGTTGAGCTTCAATTGAATGGCGAGAGAATTATGAATGGTGGTAAACAGCAGCACGATTCATCTCATCTTCTACGTCCTCCGTATATTTTTAATATTGATCGTTACATACCTGGTCGTTTGGATGCTACTGGTTTTATAAGTGGAAAAGCTGTTGTTCGAATACATCAATCAACGCCTGGGAATATTCGTCATCATTTGAATATTGAAATTGATCTGAGTGGACAATCATTGACAACAAAAGATCTTGTCTTCGTCTATGCCTATATATGCGATCACAACGATACTGTTATTCCCAATGCAGACGACTTGATTACATTTTCTCTTCTCAACGCTCGCAACTATGCATTGTTGATTGGTGACAATCCAGTAAGAGCTGAAGCTGGTATCGCGAGTATTCTTTTGAAAACGACAAATAAGAGACCAGTCGATTTCATAACACTTATTGCTCGAGCATCGACTATCGAACATCAAGAAACACGACGTATATTCTATGTATCTTGATAAAGATTTCTTAGTGGCACAGCCGATACAAAAGACATGCATGGAATTTTACGGATTTGTCGATGAGAATAGACTATTCAAGTCATAGCTAATTTCGATAGTTAAGAATATAAATAGAATATATACCATTTACTATCAAAAGGTCACGAAAAATGTCATCTGTATTAAAACACATAATAGCCATAGAATTTTTGATCGAGAATCAAAGAAACATAATTATTAATACAGACGAGTTTAAATACCAAACAAGGCATGTTATAAAATAAAAGTTATATCCTCTAAACTTGTTTAAATAATTAAAAAAAAATAGATGCAAACAATAGCCATAACAGCTCAGATTTAATGAAAAGAAACATATTTCTTTAGTTGTTTTAGCTCTAATTGTTTTCTTATACAAAAAAAAAGTGTGGGTGTTGGCGAAGATATGATAAATCCAGTCGTATACCCACACTCAAGTGTTTCTACTTACATGTTAATCTATACTTTGATCAAACAAACTACTACAAATATATCTTGAATCTTATTTAATAATTACAAAGAATAAAACTGGGTAGTTTTAAACTGTAAGGTTTCATCAGATAGCTCAAAAGTTCAATAGTATCCATCTGGGTGAGTTCGATCAGAATAAGCATGAGAAGATAGAAGTTCTTTGGTCCTACACTTTTCCACATGATCCTCTTCTAGACACTTGAGCAGATTGCTTAAGGAATATTTTAATATTTGAAAAATATCATCACTTAATCGATAAACAGGAGAAAATAAATGCAAAGAGTTTCAATATCGTATTTGAGCGTCATCTATGTATGTCTATAGATAGAAAATTTCTAAAAAGTTTTTACTCTAAACATGTTTCCTAGTATTCTTTCATTTTATTTTCTTAAATATGATTGATAAATCATCGATGTTTTCTATCATCATCACATCTCTAATTGGTTATTAATAAAACTCTTTTCATGTTGTCATAATCATCATCATGAATTATGTTTGCATTCATTCATCGTTGTTCTTCCGTTTTCGTTAATCTTTCATAATTTTATATCTTGCTCGAGATGTATATGAGTTTCACATGATTTTGTCACTTAATCTTTTGCAAAATCGTCTTATTTCGACAAAAAGATATTGATGATTGCATATACAACATCAAATCAAATAGATAGTCAGAGACAAGAGTATGAAGCTGAACAGCATGAATTCAATCAAATGTAAGATAATAAAAAATTCTTCGTTTATTTTATATTTATTATTTTGTTTTTACAGTACAGACAGATTCATAAAAAAAATCATATACAATTGAAATTAACATGAGGAACATTGCAAGGTTTTCTGTTTTTTTATGAAACTCAATTGATGAACGTATAAAAAACTAGGAAAGCATATGAATAAATTGGCAAAAATAGTAATTAGAATAGCTAGACAACAATCATCTATTGAGTTGAAAAGAAAATAGCAAACATACATGGAGAGAGAGAGAGTTTTAACTTACGAGGAAATAGTTCGAAGTGATTCAATACTTATGAAATCGTATCTTCTGTTCACTTTTTTCTTGCAATAACTTGTCTCCGCATAAAATCTAGCAAAAATTTTTTAATTCTATAAAGAAGATCCATGATTCTTCTAGTCGGCATTCTTTTAGAATCATTCTAATCTAACAGTTCTCTCTGAATATTTAAAATATGAATTGAAAAAGTAATAAATCACTTCGAAGAATTTCCTTGTAAGTTTTATTCTATTCTTTCAGATATAATTAAACATAAGTAAAATTTTTCGTATTGGTAATTCCACCATCACCTGGTTGTCTATTTTGCCAATAATTTGACAAAATAATTCGAGCTCCCGATTGATTTTTATTTGACAATGGTACAGATGTTAATTGATGTGATTTAGCACGTGTATTAAATGGTGGTTGTGGTATATAAGTAAGTTTAGATAATTCATCTTTTCGATGATGATTTCGTTCAATAATAATTGCTTGTATACGTGCTATTTGTAATAATATAAGAAGAATATTTTTAAAAACAAAAAAATAACTTGTATAATCATGACTACCACAACCAAATATAGCATATAAACGTACAATAAGAAAAGGTATATCCATAAGAAATGTTATTAAAAGTGAATTAGTTAAAAATGAATGTAATTCTTTTAATCTATTATTACTAACTTCAGGAACATAAATAACAAATTGTAAACAACTTATTGACCATACAATTAAAGTTACATAAACAAGACTTGAATTTGAATAAAGTTGAGGATATGATAATAAATCAATAAAATCTAATGAATCCATACCTGTTGTAAAATATTTAAATAATAAATCTGTTTTACCAAAATATGATATTGAATCTTGTTTAGGTAATAATGCACGAAGTATAAGAAGAAGAAATAGAAAAACTTGTATTTCAATTTGTGACCATATATATTTAAAATTTTTTAAAAATTCTTTTGGATTAATCCATGGTTTTTGTATACCACCAAATTGAGTTGGAACATTAGTAAATAATATTGGAACAGTTTTCCATGCATCTTGTTTAAGTTGATTAATTCGATGTAATTCAAGTACCCATATTGAAGTAATTATTGTTGCTGAATAAACAAATATAAGAATTGAAAAACCACGAAAATATTCTTTACATCGATATAATGCGAATGATATAATGGCTTCAACACCAAAAAATATTGTTCCAAACATAGGAATAAAATATAACTTTGTTTTAACCTTTATAGTATAAAGAACATATATTGAAAGGCCCATATGAATAGCACATAGAAGATGAGCAATAATCAGACGAATAATACGGTGACGAACGATTGGTTTTTTTTCCATTTTTTTCTTGCTAAATATCTATAAAGTTGTTTTGATGGTAAATAAAAAGAATTCACCTTAAGAAATATTTGATCATAGATGAGAAATCTAATATTTATATAGTTTCGTTATTTTTACAAAAGGTCTTCTTGATATTTAATTTATTCCATCTCCTATGTAATGAAGCGTATAAATCTGACAACTATTTCGTTACTCTCTTTTTTTTGTTTCTTTCTATACGAAAGAATTTGTTGTGATCGACTGAAAGAAAAAAGTGTGAAAGTGCATAAAAAAAAAACACCAAATAAATAAATTTACTTATTTTTCAGATCATGAATAAATAGTAAAAAGAAAAAAAAAAACGAAAAAACCAAAATTATGGATGATGTGGATATAATTGCTGAACAACATCCTCTTGAATTACTAGAAATAAATGATGATAATAATGATACTATATCAACTTCTATACCACGATTAATTGAACCAATTATTATTCGTGGTGCTGGTCATATAACTGTATTTGCATTAAATAATAAATTTGATGAAGAATATCCACAAGCTTTAACATATAAAGTTGCTCGAGATGAATATCAAGAGACTATTAAACGAGTTAATATGATTTTAAGAAAAAATGTTCCAATGAATTTTAAATGGTAAGCTAAAGAAATATTTTCAATCAACAGTCTTCGATATATAAGCACTTCAAAACATCAGAAATATGACACATGCATAATTAAAATAAAAAATTTATATCAATCATTGTTTTTTCAAGTATTGACAAATACGATAGAAACTCTTACTTCATTAATATTTTTTATCAATAAAATAAATCAAAATAATTTGAGTATATATACGAAAATCATCGGATTTATTTAGAATATTTTATATAATTGTGAAAAACAAGTCTAATGATTAGAATAAATATAGTAAATCTGTCAATAAAATAGACTCTCAATGACTTTGTCTAAATATTCTTCATAAATCTTCTGTGTTATTCTTTATTTTTTTACCTTCTTTATCTTAAATCATTCTGTGCACGCATACAGATTTTTTGCTAGAGAACAACTATATTGTTTTACCAACTAAATCAAGATTTTATATTTTATATGTTCGAATAAAGTTGATTAGTTATTGAAATGTTATCATTATATAAAAATGAAAGACGAAACTAACAAAAATCGTTCACTAGATTAAGATTGAAGGTTAACCTTATCTTGTCAAAATATTACTATCAAATATTTGATGATAAAAAAAAAATTACTATTTATTTATTTGAGGTTACTATGTGGCTGTATATGTTGTTGTTGTACATTTGGTCTTTCATTCTGTCCCGTATTATATTTAAATAAGCGTTCAAAAAATGCCGTAAACAAAATTCTTGATTGGGAAAATGCTCGTCTCTATCATAAAATTGGTCTACATTGGCGTTTAACAAAACAAAAATGTTCAAATAATGCTGTACAAGAGTATGTTATTATGATTGAATTTCATTCACCTTTATCATTATCTCATCCTGATTAAATTTTTTTTTCTTTTATTTAATAATTGATTGTTTATTTTTTTTAATCTATATAGAAAAGAGCAAAAACAACAGAAAATTTGTCTTTCATATTTTATCAGAGCAACTAAATATATCTATATATTTTAGATATTTTATATTTTTTCTTTTGGATAAACAATAATGGCAACAACGTCCATACGATATGCAATTGTTAAATCAATTATTTCCGGTGATACACTTATTATAAAACCATTAATACGATCAGCATCATCAACTAATGAAAATGAACAACGAATTTCTTTAAATTATATAATAGCACCAAAATTAGCACGTCCATCAAATGATTCAAATACTAGTCAATTATCTATTGATGAACCATATGCATTTGAAGCTCGTGAATATTTACGTAAACGATTAGTTGGTCGTGAAATATGTTATACAATTGATTTTGAAATAACACAAATGAATCGTTCAATATGTACAATTTATTTAGGAAAAGATAAAGAAACAGGTGAAAATATTATTGAATCATTATTATCTGAAGGTCTTGTAGAATTACGAAAACAAACTGGTACACGTGCAAATGATGCTAATTATAAACGTTTAGTTCTTATTGATGAACAAGCAAAATTAAATAAACATGGTCGTTATTCAGATGAATCACCAAATACTCATATAAGAAATATGAAATGGACA